TTGTGCCATCCCCTCGGAGGTCGGTGTATCCCCCCGGAGGGGTTCTTTTATCCTCTTGGAGTGTGTGTGTGTGTGCGTTATCCCTTCGGAGGTTTCTTTTTCCCATCGGAGTGTTTGTTTCAGCCCCTCGGAGTCCAGGCTGTTCGAATTCGTTCCAGCCCACGCCGGTCCCGAACAACGCCGGTCTGGATCATTCGTTCCAGTCCGGGCTGGAGAGCGATCAATTCCGGTCCGATCCGTTCTGGTCTGCAGAAAAATTGGGTCCATTCTGGGTCTTGCTCATCTCTGCTAATGCCAGCAGCCCGCGTGCAAATGCACTTTTCATCGCCTCCCCTGACGCGAGGAGCTCTTCAATGCGATACCCAAGAAGGACGCGTACATGAATCAGGCCCGTCTGCAACTCTGCGCCGTGTTTCTCGCTCCCCGCTGCTTGCTGCTCGTGCTGCTGCTCGAGCTCTTCTGGCGGGGCCAGGACGAGGATAACTCCGTTCCAGAGCGTTCCGGAACGCTCTCAGAGCGTTCCGGGGGCGCTCTGAGATGGCCGCGGCGCCAGGGAGACATCCTCCAGAGCGGCCTGAAGTCAGAGAGTCTCGCCGTGTTCTCATCCGGATTTCTCCTCGTCCTGGCCTCGTCTCATCCCCGCTGCTGGCTGCTCGTGCTGCTCCCTGAGCCCTGCCTGCCGCTCCTCTGCTCTTCGCCCGTGCCCCGCGCCGCACCCCGCCCCGGCCAGGGCCTCGTGCGGCGCGGCCGCTGTGCCGTCTGCCTTGCCTCGCTCTAGCAGGAGGAGGAGGAGGAGGAGGAGGAGGAGGAGGAGGAGGAGGAGGAGGAGGAGGAGGAGGAGGAGGGAGGGAGGGAGGGAGGGAGGGAGGGAGGGAGGGAGGGAGGGAGGGAGGGAGGAGGGAGGGGAGGGAGGGAGGGAGGGAGGGAGGAGGAGGAGGAGGAGGAGGAGGAGAGGAGGAGGAGGAGGTGGTGGTGGTGGTGGTGGTGGAGGAGGAGGAGGAGGAGGAGGAGGAGGAGTCTCTCGAGGGGGCGCTGGCGGTTTGAGTGCCCCGGGCCCCTGCGCCGCGGGTGGCGGGCGCGGGCCTCCGGTGTCTCTCGAGGGCCTACACCTCTTGGTGCCTGCCTCAGTCCTTCATGTCTGCAGTCTCTCCATCTCTTGCGGTCTTTCTCTCTGGGTGTTTCTCTCTCTCTCTCTCGCTTTCTCTCTTCGTTTTCCCCTTCTCTCTCTCACTCTCGCTCTCTCTCTCTCTCTCTCTTTCTCCCTTCTCCGGTGTGTGTGTGTGTATGTGCATGCATGTAGGCGGGCATGTTAGCCAGAGTGGACTCCAAGCAGTATGTCCCAGCATATTATGTGTGGCAAACTATGTGGTCCAATCTATGCGGTGAAATCTGAGTGGTGCAATACATGCAGTGAGCTCTATGTGGTGCAACCTATGTACTGCAATACCATGCAATGCCAAGCAAAGCAATGCAAATCAATGCAAAGCCGTGCAACGCAACGCAACGCAAGGCGAAGCAATACAACACAGGCGGCGACGAGGCGGCGACGAGGCGGTGGCCACATGGCGGCCAGAGCGGCCCGCAGGCCCAGGTGATGGACGGCGACGGGCGGCGACGAGGCGGCGACCGCGGCCACATGGCGGCCAGAGCGGCCCGTATGCCCAGGCGACGGGCGGCTACAAAGCGGCCACATGGCGGCTAGAGCGGCCCGCAGGCCCAGTTCCTAACACCAGGAGTAGGAGCCCCTAAGTGCAAACACCGTTTGGGGCATGTAGGTACATAACAACATGCATATACATACACATATACAAATGTATCAGAGGCTTGGGGGTGGGAGGGTGGGGGGTAGAATGAAGGTGGCCCACCTGGGACGTCGCTGTCGGTTTCGATTCGTGTCGCTCGTGCTGGCGAGACGGAGCTGCAGGAGGGCGACGATGTGGTCGCGTAGCTAGGGCCGCGTCGGACCACAAGCTTCTCCTCGGATTTCGTGGTTCCTCGACGCGGTTTATCCCACGATTATTCCGTGGTTGCTCCATGCTTGTTCCGCGGCTGTCCTGTGGGTTGTCGCGCGGTTGTTCTGTGGGTTTGTCCCGTGGTTCTCCCGTGGGTTGTCCCGTGGGTTGTCCCGGGGGTGTCCCGTGGGCTGCCCCGCGGTTTTCGCTCGGGCTGCCCCGCGACCTGCCCCGTGGTGTGTCGTGCTGGTTGTGTGGTGGGAGCCGCAAGTCAGTATCGTTTATCCGACCCCCATCCCCTTCCTTTGAGACCCCCACCAAATTGCCCCCCCAGTTGGGGACACACCCCTCGAAACCCGAAGGGAACGGCCCATATCCCCATCTAAGGGGGGGGGCGACATCGGCCAGTGGGGCCCAGGTCACGCTGCTGGGGATGGGGATCGGTTGAACGATGCTCAGCAAGTCGGAGTACAGGCGCAGTGCAGCGCGAAGTGCAACTCGAGATGCCCATCGACCTGCAGAACAAACTGCACGCTGATATCTCTCTCACGTACCCCGGCAGCCCCGTGCCCGGGGGCTCCCTTGCTGCAGACCACCAGGGGCACGCCGGGTCCCCTGAGAATGGCGCCTCCCCTCCTGGAGCCTCCCTCCCCTGAGTTCTAGCGGGGCGTGTCCCTCTACAGGAGGACTATTCAAAAATGTCAAAACACAGTCTGGGGACTATGTTTTCGATTATTTGGACTATTTTGATCATTTTTGATGCTTTAAAACTATTTTCCAGTTTTCGCCCAAAATCCGCCTGAAGTGGGACACGCCCGACCGGCTCTGACTCCTCCAATGCCCTCCAAGATGTCTCAAGATGGGGTGCAAGACGTCCCACGAGTTCCTCAGGACGGCCCAACAGCCCCCTCGACGTGCCAAGAGGGGCCCAGGAGGACCCCAAGAGGGTCCCGATCGATAGATGGATGATGATACGGGTAGTAGGAGTCTTTCACGACGGATCGAGTGTGAGATCGGGATGCTTAGGGCTTTCTGGAGACCTCCGGAGGTCTCCTGCGGCCTCCTGGGGACCTCCGGGAACAGCAGCCGGACACCCCCTGCAGGCCCAGGAGCCTCGGGACAGGCAGGGGCCCCGAGCCTGCTCGCCGTCTTCGCTCTGGGCCCCCCTGCCAGGGGGGGGGGGGGGCGGGGGGGCGGCATGGGGCCGCCCGAGCACCGCCCGGGGCCAGCGGGGCGCAGGGCCTCTTGTCCGTGGGGGGTTGCGGGCCCGCTGCCAGCTCAGAGGGGGGCACGCCCGCGCGCGAGCCCGCGCGCGGGGCTCCCGAGGCGGAGAGCCCCGCGCGCGAGCCCGAGGCGCAGCCGAGCCCGAGCCCGCGCCCCGGCCCGAGCGCGGGGCCCGAGCGCGAGCGCGAGCCCCGCCCCGCCGAGGGCGGCGGGGGCGCGGCGCGAGGGCCGCGGCGGGCGCGGGCTCGGGCAGCACGGGGGGGGGGTACTGCGGGCCGTGGGCCGACCCTGGCCTGCTGTCCCCCCCCCGCGCCCGCCGCCCCCCACCCCCCCCACGTCCCTGCCGCTCCGACTGAGGCGGCGACGACGACGACGACGACGACGGCGACGGCGACGGCGACGGCGACGACGACGGCGACGACGACGACGACGGCGACGACGACGACGGCGACGACGACGACGACGACGGCGGACGACGACGGACGACGGACGACGGACGACGGCGACGGCGACGGCGACGGCGACGGCGACGGCGACGGCGACGGCGACGGCGACGACGGCGACGGCGACGGCGACGGCGACGGCGACGGCGACGGCGACGACGACGACGACGACGACGGCGACGACGACGACGACGACGGCGGACGACGACGACGACGACGAGGACGACGACGACGACGACCGACGACGACCGACGACGACGACGACGACGACATTGAGGACGACGACGACGACGACGACGGATGACGACGACGACGACGACGACGACGACGACGACGACGACGACGACGACGGACGAGGACGAACGACCCGCGACAGCGGCAAAGATGGGGCGTCGCCTGCGCCCTGACCGCCGAGGCAGGGTGATCGTGAACTCGGGTGAGGATGATCCGGGACCTGTGACTGCTGGCGTGCCTGGAGCACGCAACGGGCTCCGCGGCCGTTCCCGGGGTCCCCGATCTATATCCTCATCCGAGTGTGCCCTCATCCTTTACACTGTTTGAAGCCCTGTTGAGAGAGGAAGGGGGTTACCCACACCTGTCTCCAAAGGTCACACCTACCTAGCCGTCCCCCTGGTGCCCCCAGCGCGCGCGCGCGTCCGTCGGCCTCCTTGAGGGCCAAGCGCCGCACAACCTTGGAGGGAGTGCGCTGGGAACAGAGTTGCCACGGGGGGCCGAGCTCTGCCTCGTCCTCATCCTGCCTTCGTCTTGCCTCTTCCTCTCCCGTCGACCTCCACCTTTGCGCCTTGCGCGCGCCAGGTTCCGCGCAGCGGCGGTCTCTACCGCCGCCGCGGCTGCGCCGTGGTGGCACCTGCCGCGCGGAAGGTTCGCAAGGGTGTCCACGCTTTGGTCGGTTCGTCTTCGTCGCGCAGTCGATTGCAATCGGTCGGTTTGCTTCGGTTCGGCGGGCTGTTGCGTCGCGTTGCTGCGTCGCTGCGCCGTTCTCTGCTGCGTTCGCTCGACACGGCTTTTGGTCGCCCCCAGTGCTGCTGTCGGTGCGGCCATTCTGTTGGCTCCGGTGCCGCCGCGGGCGGGCCTGCGGCCAGGAGGGCGCTGCGCCGTCTGCAGCTGCTCCCAGGCCCCGCGGGGCCGTGAGAGACGGCTCGGGACGAAACGCCGGCACTGGGGGGAGCCCCTCGGTCCAGGCCTTCTTTTTTGCTTGCGCAGGCCGCAGGGACACCAACTGGCGCCATGCAGCGTCAGAATTTCTCCTCCTCCTCCTCCTCGTCCTCCTCGTCCATTCCTCCTCGTTTTTTGTCCAGGCCCTTGTCCCTCGGGCCGGGCTCCCCACCTCGCTCATTCTGTGAGGTCCTGCCCTTCCCGTCGGCCCCAGGAGAGGAAGGGCAGCGGAGTTTGGCCAGGCCGAGGGGCGCGAGGGCCGCCGCCCCCACCCACAAGGGGCCCCTGAGGCGTCCGTCGCTGCTGTGTGATGTGAACGGTGTGTGTGTGTGTGTGTGTGTGTGTGTGTGTGTGCGTGTGCTCCATTCGCATTCGTATGGCCTTCTGGTGCTCTTCCGCCAGCGCAGTCACTCTGCCTAGCCGCCGACGCAAAGTGTGTGTGTGTGTGCGTATTGGCACCATCTCCTTCTGCGTGACAGGCGCGCGGTTCCCGTCGGCTGCGCCCTGGTTGCCCACCCCTGCCTGTTGAGCTGCTGGCGCGAACCCACGGGTCCGCTCGGATGATCGATAGCCTGGGGATCCGTTCCTCGAAAAAGAAAGATGGCACACATGTAAACTTGAAGAGCACCGCGCGGGTTTCTGGGATCTGCGCTGGGCCCCCTCCCTGGCGCGCGGGCCGCGCGCGCTGGGGACGGCGCCAGAGGCGCCGCCAGCGCCGACCCAAGAAATCCTCTCGGACCTGCGAACGAACTTGTTTGTGTTTTTGTTTCTTCTAGGATCAGTCCCGTCGACAGCCTCTCCCCCCCTGTGAGGCCAGATCGCTCCTCTACAACTTGAAGGACCGCGTGGGGGTGGGTAGCAGCCGGCAGCGCGGCTTGGCCGCGCAGTGGAGAGCTCAACCCCGGAATCGGCGCGCCGAACCCGAAATCCGTTCGGTCAAAACCCGGAGTCGGCCTCACCCGCGATCCCCGGAATTCGCCTCGAAGCGGAATTCGCCTCGGAACCCAGACCTCCGCAGAAGTGCGAGACCGGGAAGTCTGACCGGTCAAGCCAGGAATCCGTGCTTTTCTCGTTCTTCTCTGTCCCTTCTCGTCGCCCTCTGTACTTCCGCTCCGCGGTACCTCGGCGACGACGGACGACGACGGACGACCGCGAAAAACGCCATGACGACGACGACTGCGCGCTCGCGCGCGCCGCGTGCGCGCCCGCTCTCGCCCGCCCCGCCGCCGGCCGCGGCCCGGCGCGCCGCGGAGCCGCGCGGCCGACGCGCGCGGAGGAGCTCGCCTTAAGTCGGGCTTGTCCCCCCACAGGGGGATCTTCGACGAAAAATAGAAGATACCCCAAAAATACCCCCAAAAGGCAAAAAAATACTTACATAAATAGTCCCCGTACTATTTCTGGATCATTTTTGGATTATTTTTGGGGTATTTTTTATTGTTCGTCGAGAATCTCCCTGTAGGGGGACATGCCCGACTTACGTCTCGCCCTCGGGGCCTCGAGCGGGGCGCTGTTTTGTTCGTCTGCCCGAGGCGTGGCCACGCGGCGAGGCGAGTGGGCATGCTATCTGTGTGGTCCTCCCCGCGGCGCGGCCGCGCCCGGAGCATGCGTGGGCCGTGGCTGTCGCCCCCCCCCAGGCGCTGCCACAGGGGCGAGAGGAGTGCGGAGTGCCACGTCTTCGCCCTCCCAAAGGCGATGCTCGGGGGTGGACGGACCTCCTACCCTGACACGTCGATTAGTGAATTGGCCGTTTTCGGTTCGCGAGAGGGCGTCGCGGCCGTCATTTTTGCGGGTCCAGGTCCGTTGGTTTCGGTCCCAGGCCGTTTTCACTAAGGGGAGGTTTACTAAAGGGAGGTTTGTCCACCGCCGAGATGCCACGTGGCGTGCAGGAGTGCATTCGTATGCCTGGTCTCCCCCTCGGCGTTGCCACGTGACGAGCAGGGCAGAGAGTAGCAGTTGTGCTTCGCCCCGCGCACGTTGCCGCGTGGCGCGTCGAGCGGAGCAGCTTCTTGTCGCCCCGTGGCGTTTCCGCTCCGCCCGCCCATCGGCCCGTGCCAGCCTGCCCTGGAACTGACAACTGTGAGCGTGTCAGTGCGGCCGATCCACGCGGAAGATGTCAAAACCAGGGCAGCCTCTGGGCGTTGCCACGCGATGATTCGAGTGGAATGCTATATGTTCCTCCCCGTGGCGTTGCTACGCCCAGAGTAGAGTGGATTGTTGTTGTCGCCGCCAAGGCGTCGCCACGTGGCGAGTAGAGTGGAGTGTTTTGTTTCGCCTCCACAGGCGATGCCACGTGACGATTAGGAGGGGAAGCGAATTTTTTCATCCCTCGGCGCTGCCACGTGACGAGTAGAGTAGACTAGTCGTTTTGTGTCGCCCCGTTGCGTTTCCGCTCCGCGCGCCCACTGGCCCGCGCAGGCCTGCCCTGGAATTGATGCATCCGAGGGTGTCGGGACTACCCATCCGCACGGAAGTTCTCAAAGTCAGGGCGCCCAGTGGATCACGATCGAAAACACCGGTGCGAGGGAACTGCGCCGGCATCGTCGCTTTCGTGGGCTCCTGGGAGGTCCAGCGGAGTGGGTTGTCACGGGCAACCCTCCGAGATCTCGCGGCTCCTTGGAGCGCTGCGAATTGCGCCCTCGTCGCCGTTTTTCACGGGCTCCGTGGTGCCACGCACGCCCCGGGGAGAGCTCGCGGCGCCCCAAGGGGCCTGCGGACTGCGCGGCTTGTCGGCGTTCACGTGGGCTCCTGGGAGGTCCAGCGGAGTGGGGTGTCACGCAAGCCGTGTCGAGACTTCGCGGCTCCCTTGGAAATGTGGCTCTGGGCATGGAGTTCCGCTCTGGGCTCTGGGGGCTCCAGGTTTGGGCCAGCATGGACTCCGAATGTGGCTTGCCGGGGATTCCGGATCTGGGCTCCCGATTCCGGGGTTCGCCGAAGCGGATTCCGGCTTTCGCCTGCTTGAACATTCTGGGTTTCGCCCGGGAACACTCTGGGGTTCGCCTGCCGACCTTGCCTCGCCCCCACGCGCGCCAGGTCAGGAAGATCAGCTGCGTGAGCTGGTTCGCTTTCGTCCGACCCAGCTCTTCCCCCTCCTCTGGCCCTGGCCCTTGGCAGCTCGCGCAGCGGCGGCGTGGGTCAGGGCGAGCACGCCGCTCGCGAAGTTCACGCCCCAGCCAGTGGCACCGCTCGCCCCGACGGTTTTTTGGGGTCTCGGCCGTGGCAGCGGCGCCCCCCGCTCTGCACGACGGGCGCTGGTCCTCCGTGCCGGGCCCCGACGGCGTCGCTCCGTCGGCAGGCCGTCCGCCTCTCTGCTCCGCGTCTCGTGGTGGCGGCTCTGGTTCCATGCGTGCTTCTCGGGACACTCCGTCTCTTACCAGCCTGGAACATATCCCTATCCCTATGCTGGGCATCTCCTCATCACGATGCCAATCTTGGGGATTGCCTTAGTTTTCCAGGGCGCATCTCTAAGATTGTCATCGCCTTTTGGCGTGTCAATCTTAGGGATAGGGATATGTTACAGGCTGGTAATGACGAGCGAACAGCACGCGCCCATACCCGCAGGGAGGGGACGGAGGGGGCCTATGGGTGCGTGTTTCGTCGGATGGGGGCCCCCGCTCGACTGGGGGCCTCCCCCGCGGTCCGACAGCCCGCAACCATACCCACAGCAAGTCCTCCTCCCGCCGACATGGGAGGAGGAGGAGGGGGAGGAGGAGGGGGAGGAGGCGGAGGAGGAGGAGGAGGAGGAGGTGGAGGAGGAGGAGGAGGAGGAGGAGGAGGAGGAGGAGGAGGAGAGGGAGGAGGAGGAGGAGGAAGAGAAGGAGGAGGAAGGAGGACTTGCTATGGGTATGGTTGTGTGTTGTCCGTTAGTCAACGCTCTCTCGTTTTCTCTCTTCTCATCTCTTGGATCGGTTGCACTTGCGCTTCCAGATGGTTGCCTCGCTTCGCTGATCGTCTCTGGGTGCGGGGGGGGAACGAGGTGTCAATGTACAGAGATCTAGTGACGTGTACCAGAGATTCATACAGGAGCATCTGTTTTCGAGGAGCGCGCGTGCAGACAAACAACAGTGAACGTGCAGGGATAGGTGAACTCGCACATCCGCGCCAGGACCCTAAGAACTTGACATTCCGGCGCGGCCCTCAGTCGACGGCGCGTAGAAGTTGGTGGTGGTTGCACGCCGTGGCCATTTCGAAGCTGCGATCTGCCGATTCCGTGGTGCTGGCGCTCCGCTTTGCAATCTGTTTACATGGCGTGCCTGCTCGTGTGAAGTTCGCTGCCTGCCTGCTTGCGCATCGTCGGGGCCCGACGGCCCGACATGGTGAGACTGAGGTTCAAGCTCATGGTGGGGTTCTACAAGCCCAAGGACTCACTTCCGCCTTGGCCGGCGTCGCCGGCAGTATCGGGCTGGACGAAAGGGGGGGGATAGGGGAAGGGGGGCTTACGAAGTCTGCTGCGTGAAGCTGGTTTCCGCCCCGCCGCCGGGCCCATTCCTCGATACATGGGCGCCTGCCGGCGCCGGGAGGCGCCGGGAAAATCAGCTACGTGAGCTGATTGTCAAACTCCCCCTTTGCTGTCCCCCCCTTTCGCCCGGCCCGGCAATACCATCTGCATTTCTTTCGCTTGCTTTTCGGCCCTGGCCACCCTCCTATAATGTCTGCCAGCGTGGACCCCTGAACCGTGAAACGATACACCATGGACGTGTAAGCTATGTTGTGCGATATCAGGGGTGAAACCTACATGGTTTGAGCTGGGTGGTTTAAGCAACGTGACGAACGATGTGTGGTGTCAGCTGTGCGCTGTAAGCGATGTGTTGCAATATGTGATACGTCCTACGTAGGGTAAGCTTTGCCGTGCGATATGGCTGGTACAATCTATGTGCTGTGAGGTATGGGGTCTATGCTCTGTGGTGCAATCGAAGTGTTATCAATTTCACTGATCGCGCAAGGATCATACCTTCCCATTCGCAACTTGTTTTGCAAAACCCATTCTGCCCCGGTTGCGGCGACATTTTGGCACTGGATGGCGCATCTCTGCGGCTGCGCTGGCGCGCGCAAGCTCGCGCGCAGCACGGACAGCTGGTTTGGCGCAGTCGGCCGCCATGGTGGCTGCTGATGGGAAGCTCCCAGCGGGTGTCAAAGGCTGCGCAAGTGCTTGGTGCCGGTTTGCGACTCGGACTGGCGCGATATCACCCTGGCAGTGAGAACGGTGGCAACGATAATGATAGGCGATGGTGGTGGTGGTGATGACGATGACGACGGCAAGGCCAACGACGGCGCCGGTACTAATGACGTCCACGGCGATGATGTCCGTGCGTCGGTGATGATGGTGCTTGTGATTGATGGTGGTGGCAACGCAATTCTTGACATAATCGAGTGAGTGCGCATGGTGGTAAGTCACAGGGGTGACGGGGGGCGGGGGTGGACAATGACCCGTTGGCTGTGTTGATACGCTTTGTCTTCTAGGGTGAACGATCGTGCAATGTAGAAGGTGGCAAAACAACGCCAGCGGGCGTGGGCCCCAAACTTCGTGCTCAGCATGCTAGGTGGTGGAACCTAGGTGGTGTAGTACATGTGGTGTAAGCTCTGCGGCGCAATCTAGGTTGAGCAATCTAGTTCTTGCGGCCTTTGTAGTGCAACCCATGCGATGTAATCTATGTGGTGCAAACTGTTGTGTTGAAGAACTTGGGGTTGTCAGCCCCCTGCTCTCGCAAATCCACGCAGCGGCGATTGTGATGACTGCTTTGTCATGGCTGGCGCGTCTCTGCGGCCGCGCTGGCGCGCGCAGGTTCGCACGCAGAGTGGCCAGCTGGGTTGGCGCAGTCGATGCCGCCGCGATGGCGCTTGCTAGTGGGAAATGCCCAGTGCGCGTCAAAGGCTGGATTGGCGCGCGGGCTCTTCAATGCGGGTCGGTAGGTCTGGCGGGCGCGGCATCATGATAATGTCGACATCGGCGGCGACGATGATCATGGTAGCGATGGTGGCGACGATGGCGACGATGACGACGGCAGGGCCAATGGCAGCGTCGATGCTGGTAACGCCGATGACGATGATGGTGTCCATGTAACGTCGGTGATCGTTTTGGAAAGATTTCACCCCGCGCGCCGCGCGGCCGACGTGCGCGAGTGGCTCGCATGGTATGGTTTGACAGGGATTGTGCCCCCCCCCTAGCATGAATTTGCAAGAGCGCGCTAGCGCAATTTTGTGGCAATGGAGTGGTTGGACATCCAATGTCCCGTCGGGTCTCGGGAACTTCTGTCTTGAACCTCGTACGGCAACTCAGGTTTTATACGGATTTCGACATGCGCGCATGCGCGCGCGGCGATGCGCGCGCGTGGTGTTTGTTCCAGTGTTCGGGCAATGAGTTCGGGAACCTGCTCTTTTGCAATCAGCGAGTGTGGGCGTATCGTATTTTTTATTGACAGGGGTGATGGGGGTTGGTATGGATTCGCATGCAAGTTTCACCATGGAGCGAACCCATCTGTAATTCCAGACGCTTCGCAGACCCCACCAGCCCATCCAGACACGATGTCCATACGAGTTGCCCTGATCAGGGGTGTGGCGGAGCATGCCGTGGAATAATGGGCTGGGTAAGACGCCGTACTCCAATAGGTGGAGGATGGAGGATGAATCGGAGGAGGGGCAGGAGGAGGAGGAGGAGGAGGAGGAAGAGGAGGAGGAGGAGGAGGAGGAGGAGGAGGCGGAGGAGGGAAGGGGAGGGGGGGGAGGGGGGGAAGGACGAGGAACAGTCTCCGATGGCCCAATGGCCCGCTCTACAGCCCCCAGGGGGCTGGCTCTGCAATCCGGGGGGAGCCCGCACCCCTCAGCCCGTCGCGCCCCTCCCAGCCCCCCCCCCCCCTAGACGGCCAGGGAGGGCCCCAGGGCGTCGCCGAGTTTTCAACCGGGGGTCCCAGGGCGCCGCCGAGTTGTCAAGTGAATTCCCCCCCGGGGCTCATTCCGTTGAGAAAAATCAGCACTTCCTGTGCGCCGCCAGTGATCAACAAAAATGCCTGTCCCGTCTGTTCGGCGCTTTCTGACTTTTTGGGGGCCGGCAGGACCAGTATTTGGTCCCAGTATTTGGTTCCAGGCACCCCTGGGCCCGCTCCGTCCCTCTCGGATTCCGCCGGCGAGGGTTCCACTGTCCCTGCCAGCCCGACCCCAGTGATTGGCGATGATGAGTATCGTTTATCTGATCCCCATCCCCAGCGGCGTGGCCTGGGCCCCACTGGCCGATTTTCTCCCCTCGATGGGGACATAGGCCGTTCCCTTCGGGTTTCGAGGGGTGTATCCCCAACTGGGGGGGTAATCTGGTGGGGGTCTCGAAGGGCATGGGGAGGAGGAGGAGGAGGAGGAGGAGGAGGAGGAGGAGGAGGAGGAGGAGGAGGTGGATGGGGAGGAGGAACGGGGATCGGATACACGATACTGAGGTGAGGGAGGGCAGGCCCCGTGTTGAGTGGTTGGGTCTCACCAGGCCGCTCTGGCGGCGGACGGGGGTCGGCTCCGGCCCAGGGCCCTCCGGGGGCCCGGCTTTACGTCGGGCGTGTCCCCCTGCAGGGGGATTTTCGACGAAAAATAGAAGATACCCCAAAAATAGCAAAAAGATAGTGCCAAAAATAGTCTGGGGACTATTTTTGGAGTATTTTCTGACCTTTTTGGGGTGTTTTTGGGGTATTTTTTTGCTTTTCGTCGAAAATCCCCCTGTAGGGGGACGTGCCCGACATAAGCCTGGCTCCTCCGCGCGTCCATGGGGAGGCGCCGTCGCTGGCCCCCCCCGCCTCCGGCCGGGCGGCCTTCGCGGGCGCCAGTCCGACGTGGGACCCCCGCCGCCGGGGGCGGTGGGGCCCGCGGCTGCGGGCTTCGAGATGTGGGGCCCCCGCTTCTGGGCAGGGCGGGTATATCGCCGGCGTGGAGGGTGGCGCCTGACCGCAGCGCTCGTGATTTGCAGAGGGGGCCTCGGTCCCGCGCTTCGGTGAATTTTGAAAAGCAAAGAGATTGGACTCGCCACTCTCTTCCCCCCGGTCGGCGAGCGGGCGGGATTGTTCCCCCCAGTGTAGCTTGCCCTGTCCAATTCTTGTTTTTTCCTTTCTAACGTCATTTCTTCCTGCCGCATTCCTTCCTCACGTTTGGCTTTCGTGCGTATTGCCTGTCGAATGAAAGTTCTTGTTCCTCCCGAGCTCTGGGTTGTCCTGTTCAATTTCTGTTACATTTCTCCCGAACAGGTGGAATTTCTACCCAATTCCTGCCATATCTGCCACGTTCATGTCTGTTTCCTCCTGAGGGCTTGGTTCTCCTGCGCAAATCTTTCCTAATTCACCCCAGATGTTGCGCTTTCCTCTTGCATTCCTGGTCCGTTCCTGCGTAATTCCTCCCGAACGCTGGGTTATCTTGCCCACAGGCTGCCTATTTTTTGGGGGGCCCTTCTGGAAGCATAGATTTCCAGTTCAACTCCTATTGTGTTCCTCCCGATAGCATGGTTTTGCTGCTTGACTCCTGCACGAGTCGTGTTGCCAAAACATGGGTTTTCCTGTTTCATTCCTGTCTTTTTCTTTCCGAGCCGTTTTTTGAATTCATAAACGATTCCTGCTACATCGTTTATGGATGCTTGTTTTGACTGCCGACTTTCTGCATTTTTCCTACCCGGCGCTTGGTTATCTTGCCTACTTCCTGCCAAATTCTTCCCCAGCGTTTTTAGTTCCTAACGAAGTCGTGTTTTGTTCTCCTGAAGGTTGGGTTTCCTGCCTTGTTCCTGATCAATTTCTTTCGAACGCTTGGTTCTTCTTTTTCAATTCCTGCCAATTTTTTTTGTTTTCGTCCCGACCGCCACCGCTTGGCTTCCCGACCCCATCTTTACTTCATTCCTCCCGAGCGTTTTGCTTTCCTGTGTCAGTCCTGCTTTTTTTCTCCCAGTAGCTCTCCCTCATTAACTCCAGCCTACTTCCTCTCGAGCTGAGGCTTCTTGCCTCACTCCTGCCAAACTCTTGCTTTTCTCCTCCCGAACGCTTGGTTGTCCTGCCTCATTCATTCCTGCCCGGTTCTTTCCGGACGCCTGGCTTTCCTGCCCAATTGCTGCCCATCTCTGCCTGGGCGCTCGCTTTTCCCGCCGAGGTCTTCCGCAATTTCTCCTCCGAGCGCTTGGCTTCCGGGCTTCATTCCTGCCTCCTTCCTGTTGCTTTCCCGTCCGCTTGGCCTTCCTGCCCAACTCTTCCTGGCATCGCTCGGACGTGTGCATTTTTTCGCGGCGAGAACCCTCGAGGGCCATCCTGGACCATCGAGCAAAAGAAAAACACGCACGACACCGAACAAATGCACGGGAACCGGACGCCCGAGCGACGGCAAGTCTTTGTTCTCCCACGCGTGCGACGGGCGCGCGGGCATCCCGCGACCCTGCCGCGGGGCGCCGGCCCGCGGCGAACAACCCGGGCCCCTCGGGGCGCCGCGGCCGTCCCCGCGGAGGAGGGCCCCGCCGCCTGGTGTCCTGGGGCCCCTGCGCCGGCCCCCCTGCGTGGATCTCTTGTCTCTGTGGAGCCCGAACCTTCCGACCAGGGGATCGACTACGGAGTTGGTTTACCCCCGAATTGGTTTTCTCGTCGAAGTTGCGGAGCATATGCAGAATTCCAGATCGATGTACGAATCTTCGACGCAACCGTCGTATACTATATGGGGAAAATCAATTTGGGGGTAAATCAATTCTGTAGTCGATCCCCTACTCGAGCCTTGCAGGGACGGTCCGACATCGGCTCAATCTGGCTCGACCCCGCTTGATCTGGCCCGATCCCGCTAAATCTGGCCTGGTCCCGCTTGCTCCGCGGCCTAATCTGGCGTAGCAGCCCCCCAATGAGGCTTATTCTCCCTACTCTTTCCGACGAAGATCTCCTAGTAGTTGCCTCCTACTGAACCTTGCACGGATGGCGGGAGCGCGCGTCCGAGGATGTTCCCAGCCTGAACGCAGAGGATATGGCGAGCGACGAGAAGAACGCGCAGCGAGCCAAGCAGCGGCAGGATGCAATGGAGGATGGCCGCCTCGGGGCAAGGCAGGAGGAGATTGAGGATGCGCGAGGAGGATGAGAGAGGAGGATGCGTAGCAGTGAAGGGAGGATGAGGCACAAGGGGCGATGAGCCAGGGGCGACTGGTGAGGAGTCGGGATTCGAACGCCGTTAGCTGCACGGCGACTCCGTGCAAAAGCCGTCGCGCCCAGCTGGGACCAAACGTGTTACAGCGCAGGGCGCTGCCAAGACGACAGAGTGAGGACCGCCTTGGTTTTGGGATCGTCTCTGCTTTTCGACGTGTTCTCTCGATCAGGGTCGCGGAACCTGCACGTGGCCGAGGATCGCCGTGGCCAGAACAGCCTCTTTTTTCATGATTCTCAGGAGGGGGGAAACACACACAGACACAATTCATTTGCGATCCCCCGGAAAACATGGGAACTATGGGAAGGGGGGGGGGGGAAAACTAACACCTAGGAAACATGGGACCACATGGGGAATCCTGGGATTTGTGTGAATTGATTTGTATTCTTGACGCTTCGCGGGCCTCTTGGGTGCCTCTCGGGTGCCTCTTCGAGGCATCTTGGGGCTTCTTGGGGTACTCTTTGAGCTCTCTTGGGGGCCTCTTGGGAGCCCTGGAGGGCCTTTTGGTGCCATCTTGAGGGCGGTCGGTCAAAGGAGGGGGGGTGCTTCCCTCTCCGGGGCCACGATCCTCGTGAGGGGTGTCAAGAATTGGTCCTTCCACTGGCCGAAAAAGGAGCCTGCGACACCTCGCGAAGCCTCCCAACAAAACCTCAGGGAGGGGAGGGGGAGGTTTCCCCTCCCCGAAGGGAAGAGGGGCTGTGGAAGAGGAAAGAGACCCTCCTCAGACCACTTGTCGCCCAGAGGGCTGGGGGATTTCCCTGGGCCACTTTATATTTGGCGTTCCTCATGTTAGCACGCTGGCTGCACATAACCGCATGCCGATGATAATAAAGGGACCCCCCCCTTCAGTGTTTAGAGTTGATTATCGTCGCCCTATACAAAATTCAAATTGGGCGGCGAGCGCTGAGGCCGAACTTCATTATCATCTCGAAACGCTATGTTGAGATAGCAACATCAAGCGATGTTGATATAGCAACATCAAGCGAAGCGATCACACTTATCTCGTATTTTATCCGTATTTTATATTTGTATCTATCCCCGCGCGCGCCTGAACTTTTTTATCCCTGGGGTTGATTATCCATGGAAACTGAAACACATGAGCTACCCTACATGAGTACTTCAAAACATCGATTTTCATAAAGCGTTTGTAAATTAAAAATGATAGATTTGGAATTTTGAAATTTTCCTTTCATCTTTTCTTCTTCTTCTTCTTCTTATTCTTCTTCTCCTCTTCTTCTTCTCTTCTTATTATTATTATACTCTTCTCTTCTTCTTTTATATTTCTATCTGTCCCCACCCTCGCCTGAACTTGATTATCCCTGGGGTTGATTATCCATGGGGTTGATGTCTCAAGCGAAATAAGCAATAGTTTGACTGTGTCTCAAGCGAAATAAGCAATAGTTTGCGGATGTCTCAAGCGAAACAAGGGATTTGTCGAGGATGTCTCCAGCGAGATAAGCCATTGTTGAGGATATTTCTATGAAAACTAAACGCCAAGGATGTCTCAAAACGTGCTCGGCTTGGTCTCCTCTTGATCATCTCTTACTTCGAGATTATGCTGAGGTCTGCTGGGCTACTTTTATTATCTCTCCCTGAACCCCGAACTTTATTATCCCCTAGTGTTTATTCTCACGGGCATGAGGTTAGTACTGTGGACGCGGGTGAGACGTTGGCGGAAAAGGGCTCTCGATCGCATGCGCAGCCCGAAGCGGGGCAGGAGCGGGGTGGTGGCCTCCTCGAAGAGGGCGCTCGCCATTTCGGGAGGCTCCACTTCAGCCTCGCGAGAGGATGCCTTCGGCGGTCCAGGGTTCCCCCAGTCTCTTCTGACTCGCCTTGAGCATGTCATTGGCCCTCCCTCCCCAAGTGCACAGAATGGAGGCGTAGGTCGCGTGCGCAGGCCCAAGGGGTGTTGGAACAAAGGGTGTCTCCCTCGAACGGGGCGCGCGCTTTCTCAGGAGGTTCAGAGCTCGTTCTCCACGGCATCGCTCACCACATAATCCTCTCTACCTTTTTATTTCAATTGCAGCGTTATGATGCGAATACAGTTTTTTTCGAGTTGGGTTCTTGCTTTTTCGGGCCGTGCCCCACTCTTTCCTCTCCCTCTTCTCATCCTGCTCGTTCCCGCTTCCTTTGACCGTTTTGTTCCTCCCACGGGTGCCGCGCTGGCCATTTACAAGCCCCGTCCTCCAAAGAAGCATTGCCGCCCTCCGCTCCAGGAAGGGGCGGAAAGCTCCAACTGCAGCTGGAGTTCCCTTCTCGGGGGCCTTTCTGGGGGCTCTGTGAGGCTGGGCCTCCTTTAAGGCCTCCTGGGGGCCTGTTCCGAGGTCTCCTGGTCAGCTCGGGCTGTCTTTGGACGTTGGTCAGACATCAAAACACGAGTAACCTCAGAGGATTTTGAGTTTTAGACCGCCCTTTTCTCTCGGTGGTGAACGGGACTGGTCCTAAACCTCCTCGTCGCGGCGGATATCATTTTCCCTTCATTTCTGGGTGGGCTGGATCATGTTGGGGGGTTCTTTCGCCCAGGGAACCCTGAAAGAGAGAGGAATTTGCAGCACGTTTGTAAGAGGATTGCAATCTAGATTCGACATTCTTCGCCGAGGGCGTTGCTTGCCATCTCCTCCTTCATCTCGTCGTGTTTGTAGTGGGGTTGCACCGTATATATATATATATACATATATAAATAAATAGATACACATGTTTACACTATACGCGCGCATCTTCAGCGTCGGCGCCAAGATTTTCTATGAGAGCGCTCCAGAGGCATAATGATTAGTAGTCGTCATAGTCGCAATCGTAGTCGTAGTCGCAACTGTAGTCGTAGCTGTCGGCGTCGTTGTTGCGCGGCGGGTGCCGTGAGGAGCAATCATTAGTTTCCCTTCCTGGTGGAAACACCAATCCGTGAATAAGGCCGCCGAACAAATAGTTCTAGACGCTTCGCGTATCCCCCCCAGCCCAGCCAGAAACGATGTCCAGGCGAGTTGAGGTCATCAGGGAAGTGCGGGAGCAAAGAGGAGGACGACCGAACCGTGCGAAGGAGGGAGGACGAGAAGGAGGAGGCTGGCTGGATGGATGGATGGATGGATGAGAGAGTGGCGAGAAGGAGGATGAATAGGAGGAGGAGGAGGAGGATGAGGAGGAGGAGGAGGAGGATGAAGAGAAGGAGTAGGAGGAGGAAGGAGGAGCAGGAGGAGGAGGGCAAGCAAAAGGGCCAGAGGTCTCTTGGATGCCTCTCGGAGCCTCTTGGGGTATCTCTTGGGCGCTTCTTGGTGGCCTCTTGGGACGTCTTGGGGGTCTCTTGGCGGTCCTGGGGGGCTCTTGGGCATCTTGGGTGCCGAGGGGGGGCCTCTTGGGGCCGCTTGGGGTCCTCATGGGGGCGTCTTGGGGGCATGTTGGGGCCATCTTGGGGCCATCTTGGGACCTCTTGGGGCCTCATGGGCGCTTCTTGGGGCCATCTTGGAGGGTATCGATCGAAGAAGGGGGGAGCTTGAATTAGCCTCCCCACCCAAAACGCCAAAATGGGGCCAAAACCTTTGTAAACCGAATGATTTTGGCTTCCTCGCTGATGCCGTTTTGGACGCCCTGACTGCTCGCGACTGGCCCCGTCCAGGTCCAGGGGAGGGGGTAGTGAGAGGGGTCAAGACACCCTCCAGATAGCAAGCCGTCTAGCTCACTCCCATCCGCCCTCGCAACACAAAGCTAACACCCGAGCCTCAGCATGTTCCGCGGTCGTCTTTTGATGGACAGCTACTGGGAACTAAAACCGCGCCCATGTGCGACGCTGGGGCGAGGTGCGCCACGCGTGCCAGGCGCGCCACGCGCGCCAGGCTTCCCTGGGGCCCGAGCGTGTCAGGCACGCCTAGTGCGCCGGATGCTCCCTCCAGCCGCGCCAGGTGCGCCACGTCCGGGGCACGTGCAGAGTGTGTGGCAGGTGCGCCTGCGCTTGTGACAGCACACACGGGGAAACATGTCGGCCCCCAACATCCTGTCGAAAACCAATGCCCATCATTGTGTCTGGTGGGCCTGCGCACAGCAGGCCATACGCCACCACCCCCGCTGTCCCTGACAAACACCACTTGACAATGATCGCGGGGTGGCCGCGCACTATCCACATTCAGCCGCGAGGTGCATTTTGTGTTGTGTGTTTGTCAGGGATGGCAGCCCTGCGCGCAGCAGGCAATATGCTGACAAAACAATACAAAGTGCCCGCGGGCCTCACGAACATGACTCCAGACTTGGCCCCAACGTGTACCGTGTATTGTTTTTTTGGGCAGGGATGGTGGGGGGGGAGGGGGCCGCATCGGGTTGCTTTCGCATGCTCCGAACTTGGAGGCAGAGTGCGTCTTGTATTGTTTTTTTTGGGTATAGTTTTTTGACAGGGATGGGCTGCGGGGGGGGGCCCCGTGCAGCTTGTCCGTCCACCGCAGGGCCGGCTCCTGGCAGACGGGAGGAGGAGGCGGAGGAGGAGGAGGCGGAGGAGGAGGAGGAGGAGGAGGAGGAGGAGGCGGGAGCGGAGGAGGAGGAGGCGGAGGAGGCGGAGGAGAACCACGCGCCGCAGCGCCGCGCGCCACCGCCGCGCGTGGGCGCTGGGCTCCCCCGGGGGCTGCCCCGTCGGTCCCCTCGGAGGGTGCGCGGCGCTCTGCTTTTGAGGGCCTACCGCCCCTGCAGAGCAGGGCAGTGCAGACCCATCGCCGTGCCATGCTCAGGAGGGAAAGAAACACACAGACACAATTAATCGGCGATTCTCCAGAAAATATGAGAAAATATGGTATGTGGGGGGGGAAGACAGAAACCCAGAAACTATAGGAAAATATGGGGAATATTTTTATTTGTGTGTATTTATTTGTGTATCCTAGGGCCCCTTCACATGCAGGGCACTGCAGATCTGCACAAATCGGAACGGCACAATTCAATCCAGTGCTAACCAAGCTGACGCACGTCATGGATGTGCAAGGCCTGGCGAAGCAGTGCAAGCACCGCCGCCCCCTGCCTTTTTGGAAGCGCCTGCGTGGACTTGGGCGTCTTGGGGGCCTCTTGGGCTGTTTTGGGATCTTGTTTGGGCCCTCTTGGGGGCCTCTTGGCCTGTCATGGGGCCACCTTGGAGGCCTCTGGGGCGCTCTTGGGGCGATGTTGGGGGCCTCTTGGGCCATCTTGGGCCGTCGGAGAGCTGCTAAGAAGAAAATGCCAACATCCTTCAAAAACCGAGGGATAATCAATGATTTTTGCCCTTCCAGGCCTTCTGGAGGACGTTTTTCTTGGGGGCCTCTTCGGCAGTCTTAGGCCATCTTGGAGCCATCTTGGGCCGTCTTGGAGGCTTCTTGGACGAGCTTGAAGGCATCTTGGACTCTCTTGGGCCGTCTTGGAAGCCGTCTTGGACCATCTTTGGCGACTTGGAGGCCATCTTGGGCCATCTTGGAGGTCATCTTGGGCCAACGTGACCATCTTAGAGGCCATCTTGAGCCGTCTAGGAGAATTTTTTGCGGTCGTTGAGGTGGTTTCCGGGCTTTTCCAGTACCCTGGTGGGGTCGGCCGAAGCCCCAGGCGGAGATTTTTTGGATTGAACCAAAACCAACATCGAAAGGATTTGGCACGCCGGCCACCCCTGTGGCAAACCAACAGGGGGCGGCGGATCGAGTGGCTTTCGGCCCTTCCCGCCACCGTGCCTGGGTTGTGGGTCAGAGTTCTCAGGGATTCTTCCTGGGGTCTCGTCGAAGCGTTCTCGGGAGCCTCCTGGGGGCAGTTTTGGGGCGTCTTGGGAGTTTCTCGGAGGCCTCTTGGGGGCCTCTTGGGGCCTCCCGTGGGCCACTTGGGGCCTCTTGTTGGGGGCCTCTTGGGGGCTTCTTGGGGCCTCCTGGGTGTGCCTCGGGGCCGAGGGCTCGAAATGTCTTGTCGGTTTCCCCATCTGGGTCCCATCTTTAAGCCGTCGTTTGGCCCTCTTGGCCGTCTTGGGTGCCTCTCGCGCCGTCTTGGGCTCCTCTTGGGCCGTCTTGGGGCCCTCTTGGGGGTCTCTGTGGCGGTCTTGCGGCGATCCTGGGGACCTCATCAGCCGTCTTGGAGCGTCATCCTTCAAAAACCTATGGGCGTTCATTGATTTTTGCCTCTTGGAGGCCTTCTGGTCCGTTTTTTGGGGGCCGTCTTGGGCGTCTTGGAGCGATCTTCAGGCATCTCGAAGCCCTCGTGGACCACCTTGGCAGTCTTGTGGGGCCATCTTGGCCCGTCTCAGGGCTCTCTTGGGCCCGAGAACGTCGCGCGCGGCAAGCCCAAGGAGATTGGGCGAGTTGGAGGGTTGTGATGCCTGAAGGGTTAGGCCAGTGGTTCTGAGGACACGCCCACGCCGTGCCGGAGGTCACGGTGGCGGATACCTGCAGAGCAAGCTGTTTCTCGGAAACTGGAACATATACATTACCAGTGGCGGGCTGCTTTTCCATCGAGGGTCGGGGACGACATGGGGTGGTGTGGTGTATACTTTTTGTTTCCAGAGGAAACAACGAAAAATGTATACACCAGGATCCCGTATACGCCAGGCTCCGCTTTCCTGTGCAAATTTCAGTGCAGGGCCGGAAAAAGCGGCGGTGTATAGTGCTCGGTTCCCTAGTTTCATGCCCAGCCATCCTAAGGAATGCAAGGAGATGGCACGCAGCGTGGTGGGCATCTTTCAGAGCCAGGCAGAACACGGCGCATGCACGAGCAAAGCGGAGCGAGCCAGAGCAGGGCGAGGCCGCGGCGGCTCTCGCGTTCTGCGGCCTGGCGATCCGCGCGGTGTCGGAGACTAGCGCGCAGGTTCGCAGGCTGTGCGTCGTCGTGGCGGGGATCCATACACACGGCCACCGCCTGGAGGATCGATGTTCGCAGACCTCCACGGGTGGCGGGCATGAACATATTTTGGCCTCTGGGGCCCCAAACGGTATCCAGACCCACCGCCTGCTGCGTCCCCGCCCGGGACGTCGGTTCCCAGGCGGTGGATATGGATGAATCCCCGCCTCGCAGTTCGTCTCCCCTGACCCCCAACTTTTCGACGAAGCATGGAGCGGCCCGGAAACGTCGGTGACGCGTCAGACTCGAATGCGTCTGAGCTCGGGTTTTTCGGCGCTCTTTGACGAGCGCGTCCTGGACTTTGGCGGTCCAGTCTTCGTGGGGTGCTCGCAGCGGGAGCTCGCGTCAAGGGTCTCGTCATTTTCATGATGGCCCCGTCAGGCGAACCCGAGTCCCCCGAACCCGAGTCTTACGTCTCTCCAATCAGAACAAGGGGGAAATTCGGGGATGCACCTCCAGTGGTTATTCAGACGCACCCCTATCGAGGATGGACGCCCCCCCAACGTATAACCCAGGGTTGGACCACACATCTATGGTCCATTCGAAAAACCAACGGGGCCTGAGGTGAGGGCCGACATATCTCCTGTTGCAGGTCGTCAAGGCGCGAGGCTGCCGTGGCCACCCTCGCTTTGGAGGGCCACCCTTTGCGGGCCATATCCATATGCATGTCCAGTGCGTCTTCGACTCTATTGGAAGGGGTGCCGCAAGGCCGAGGCGCACTTGGCGTGGGTGGAAATCGTGCCTCCTAGGGGCCAGCTTTTCTATAGATCCAGTGCGCCTCGGGCTTCTGGGGAAGGGGGCCTGGAACTCCAAGCTGCAATGGATATGGACACAAGTCTTGCTCGCTTTTTGTGCTCTTCGTGTTCTGTGGCTCCCCACCCAGGTCGGAGCGGCCCGTTTTAAGAGCCAACAGCTGCATCGAGGCATACCCTTCGGAGCTCCGCGCCGGTTGCTTGGGTCTTCGTGAGCCTCCGAGAGTTTATGTCTATGCAGTGCTGTTGCTCCCTCACAGCGTTTCGCGAGACGGCTCACAGCGTTTCGCGAGGACCACAGGGGAGTCCCACACCGGGGGACGGGGAGCCCGAGGCAACCGTTTCGCCTGAGGCCCCTGAGCCATGCATGCAGGAAGCGCGCACTCGCCTCGATGCCGGTCACCATGTTTGGGTCCGGACGGCCACGACCCGCTCTGCAAACAACTGCATGGAGGTGCACGTGGGGCCGTGCTCTCACCCCTGTGCCCCCGTTCGCAGGCCTCCTGCTCCTCGAGACCCTTAGCAGCCTCGAACGTATCCCTATCCCTGAGATTGACACGCCAAAAGGCGATGACAATCTTAGGGATTCGCCCTCAGAAAAGAAGGGAACCCCTGAGACTGGCATCGTGATGAGGAGACACCCAGCACAGGGACAGGGATATGTCCCAGGCTGGTGAGACCCACCCCTCGGGGTGCCTCGCCGGGGTCGTCGGGCCATAGCTCGAGCCTCCGGCGGCCGTGCGGGCAGAGCCGGGACCCTCCGGAGCGCTCTCGGCGGGGCGCAGCCGCCATCACCAGCCTCGAGCGTATCCCCATCCCTGAGGTTGACACGCTGAAAGGAGATGACAATCTTAGGGATACACCCTCAGAAACTGAGGAATTCCCTAGGATCGCCATCGTGATGAGGCGATGCTCAAATTAGGGATAGGGATATGTTCCAGGCTGGTAATGACAGGCACGCCGAGGCCAGAGGGCCGCCGAGGACCACAGCGAAGGCGCCCGACACGCCCAGGCCTCGAGCCTCGAAGCTTCGGGGGGCCCCCCCAGTGCAGGTGCCGGCGGGAGCGGCCGTCCTCTCCCATGGCGGGGGGTGCTGCTGCTCCTGGGCGGCATCGCTCGGGCGTGTGCGCTAGCTGTCGGCGAGGGCAGGCGAGGAGCATCCTGGGGGACCTCGCGACGAGAGAGGCACGCGTTGGGGGGCCACAGGCGAAGCCTACCACTACCCCCCACGATTTCTGAGGGGGAGGGGCAGGGTTCGCATGTGGCCCCCCAACGCGCGACACCGAACAGGTGCACGGGGGATCGCACGCTCGAGGGCGAGGGCAAGCGCTGCCGGTTGTCCCGGGCCATCCCCACGGGGCCCTGCGGCCGCAGCGGTGGGGCCCCACCCAGAAAACAACCCCAGCCCACCCCAAAAGGCCTTCGTTTTCCGTTCCTTTCAGCGTGTGTGTGGGGGTGTTCGGGGAACATGGCAAAAATCACATGGAACCCATACCCCCCCACCCCCCACCCGAAATTCGGGTCAAATTTTCCCTCCGTATCAGTGTGTGTGTGTGTGTGTGTGTGTGTGTGTGTGGAGGGGGTGTTCGGGGAACATGGCAGAAACACATGGAACCCGAACCCCCCCCCGAACACACGGAACGAACTGGAACGAACCGGAGCACACGGAACACGTGGCAGGAACACATGACACATGGCAGGAACACATGGAACGAATTCGACCCGAAATTCGGGTCCACTTCGTGTCCCCTCGGGTCAGGTTGGGGCGGTCTGGCAGGCAGTGCGCGGGGCCCTCGTGGCCCTCGGGCGCCGCGCCCTCCGGGCCCTCGCGCCGACCGCGGGCGCGCCGCCGCCGCGCCCGCCGCAGCCGCCTCGCTGCGAACCGGTGCGCTGCCGGAGGGTCCAGGGAAGCGCCTGGCCCGAAGGGCACCAGGCGCGCCCGGGGGGCGGGGTCGCAGGCCGGGGCAGGCACCTCGAGCAGGAGGTCGACTCTGAGGGGCCTGTCTTCCACCGCCACTCCTCCTCCTCCTCCTCCTCCTCCTCCTCCTCCTCCTCCGCTCCCGCCTCCGCCTCCGCCTCCGCCTCCGCCTCCGCCTCCTCCTCCTCCTCCTCTTCCTCCTCCACCTCCTTCCCCCCTCCAGCTTCTGGTGGTGGTGGTGGAAGACATGCCCATCAGGCTACAGACGCGAGTTATTTTCGAGTGGATTTTTCCGCCGCGTTGACCCAGCAACACACCGAATACGTCGAATGCTCCGTAGATCTCATTGCGGAGCATTCGACGTATTTTCCGCAGAGTCGAGTCCCAGACCAAGCAAATATCTGGGGCACACCCATTCTGCACACGAGTGCTGTAGTCGATCTCCTGCTCGAGTACTGTTTTGCACGGCAGCGTCCGAATTCGGAGCCGGCCAGGGGCTGAGGTGGCCCGGCACTTGTTTCCAGCCAGCAGAAAGGGGGGAGAATTCGACGTTTTGGGTTCGAGGAGGTTTTTTGTTGGCTGATTTGTTTCTGCCTTGGGGCCGTTTTCGGTACCTGGGACCGTCAAACACGGATCCGGTGTGAAAAACTTTCCCAGGTTGACCCCAGGAAGGGTTTGGGGACAGATTTTGAGCGGATTTGCCTTTCCCCCCCCCCGTCTGGACCGAGTTTCTCGGGGCCCATCCTTCTCTCACCGAGCGCGTTCCACTACTCGCAAAGTGCCTACTCGCAAACGTCCGAAAACACGTTTGTTTTGATGTAATGTATCGGAGATCCCCTGGGGGGATCCAGGGCATTTGCGAGTAGGTACTTTGCGAGCAGTGGGATGCGCCCGTCTATTCTCAGACTCCCTGGCCGCCTCCAAGTCTGAATATCACAATTAAGTCGGGCCTGTCCCTCTAGAGGGGGAATATGCAAAAATAGTCAAAACATAGTCTGGGGACTATTTTTGATTTTTATTGACAAGTGGAATATTTGATTGGAAATATTTCTAATTTTTTGTCCAAAATCTCCCTGTAGGTGGACAGGCCCGACCTAAACATAGTAGCAGAGTGGTGGATAGCAGCACTTCACAGTTTGACCTGTCTTCGCGCCCTCCTGGCGGCGCCTCCGACGCGGCCCCCCCCAGCCCTTCTCCCCCTGCACAGGCACTCAGTATGAGTACTACTCGCCTCTATCCCCTGAAGATGGCCGGGGATCGGCCCGCGCCCCTCCTCCTTGTTGTTCCCAACCGTTATGTGTTGCCGGGGGCCTCGATTTGACTACGCATCGCCCCGAGTCCTTCCACCCCTCCTTCCTCCTCCTCCTCCTTCCTTCCCTCCCTCCTTCTTCTTTCTTTTCCCCCTTCCTCCTCCCCCTACGCCTCCTCTGGTTTGCACACCTTATCCACACCAGTTCGGCTCAGCCCTCACACGTTTCGTGGCCCCGTGGAGAGCTCCACCTGAGGGCCCAGTGGCTACGTCCGCATACCGCATGCCTGGTCCGCACCCTTTCGGCGCACCCCTCACACGTTTCGTGCCCCCATTGGGAGCTCCACTGACGGCTCCAGTGGCTGCGTTCGCATACCAGATTCAGACTCAATTTCGGCGCACCCCTCACACGTTTCGTGCCTCCATTGGGAGCTCCACTGAAGGCTCCAGTGGCCGCGTTAGCATACCAGCATCAGACACAATCTCGGCGCACCCCTCACACGTTTCGTGGCCCCATAGGGAGCTCCACCTAAGGCCTCAGTGGCTGTGTCCGCATATCTAGTCCACACCATTTCGGCGCACCCTTCACATGTTTCTCGCCGCCCTTGAGAGCTCCACCTCAGGCCCCAGTGGCTGCGTCCGTATACCTGGTCCACGTCATTTTGGTGCACCTCTCACATGTGTCGTGATCCCATGTGGAGCTCCACCCAATGCCGCAGTGGCTGCGTCTTCACACTTGATCCACACCATTTCGGCGCGCCCCTTACACGTTTCGTGGCCCCATTGAGAGCTCCATCTGAGGCCATAGTGGCTGCGTCCGCCTTCCTGGTCCACATTATTTCGGCGCACGCCTCACGCGTTTCGTGGCCACGTGCGCCTCCACCTAAGGCCCCTGAGGCTGCCTCCGCATACCTGGTCCACACCATTTCGGCGCGCCCTTCGCACGTTTCGTGCCCCACTAGAGAGCTCAACACAAAGCACCAGTGGCTGCGTTCCATGCCTTCTCCACACGGCGCGCCCCTCACTCGTCTTGTGGCTCTACATGAAGTTCCAGCGACGGCCCCAGTGACAGGAATCGCACTCGTGACCGCGCCCAGTTTGGCGCACTCGTCACACGCTTCGTGGCCCCCTGGGGAGCTCCACCCGAAGGCCCCAGTGGCAGAACTCGCATGCGTCACCGCGCCCAGTTTGGCGCACTCCTCGCGCGCTTCGTGGCCCCATGGGGACCTCCACCCGAATGCCCCGCCGCCCGCTGTCTCCCAGGGCTGTGCCAACAGACTCGCAGATCAGCCGTGACGGGCTGCAGCCAGATGTAGCCCGTGATGGCTGACCTCGGCGACCCTATCGGCAACGTCGCTCCGTCCTTCCCGCGCCGCGCCTCGGGTCTTCTGCTGGCACCTTCCCTCAGTCTCAACCTGTCTTGAGGCACTCGCAACTGCACGTGGTCGGATTCCTCGCCAGGCTTTTTTTTACACCGGGTCGTATTGGTTCAATTTCGAACGCACTCGTTGTCTCAAATCGGTGATGCCGCTGCAGCGTGCGCATTGCACCCATCGTTCAGGATGGCGCTCTCGCCCCCGCGCGGGCAACTTTTCTTCTGGAGCCGCGTGCTTCCTCGTCGTTGTCGCCTCCCTCCTTGACCCCTCCTCTGCTTTCCTCTGGTCCCCGTGCTCCTCCCGCTGCTCCCACTCCCGCTCCTGCCAGTGCTGTTCCTCCTCCTCCTTCCTCATCCTCCTTATCCTCGTGCTCATCCTCTTGCCCATGCGCCACCGTCTCCTCCCCTCCTGTGTACGCAGCTCCCCTTTTCCGATGGCGCATGAGACGACGAGCTCCTTTTTTTCCCAACCCTCCTTGTGTTGGGCACCCGTTCGTTTTGAATAGAGCACTGCGCGGTCCGTCCTCCCGCCTCCTCCTCCCTCCTTCTCCCCTTCTCTCCTCCTCGTGCTTCCTGCTTTGCCTCCTGCTTTATCCCAACCCTCCTTGTGATTCTCTTGCCAGAAAGGGCAATGCAGCCAGGAGGACGAAAGGAGGAGGATGATGAGGAGGAGGAGAAGGAGGAGGAGGAGGAGGAGGAGGGGGAGGAGGAGGAGGAGGACATAACATCACTAGGCCGCTGCAACGGCGCGGTGGGATCAGAGCCACGGGTGCTGGTATGCCCTGCGCGGAAGTGCGTCGGAGCGTGCTCGTGGAAGGGCCGCCCAGCAACGCATGCCGACCTCCCCCCCCGACTCTCAGCGGGCGCGCTCGAGATTACGCTGGCTGTTGTGTGTCGGTTCCCTGGCGACCCGACGAGGGAAGCCTGCCACAAGGAAGAGCTGTTTGCGTCGACGAGGTCGCTGCGAGTACTCTCAAGTCGGGCCTGTCCCTCTACAGGAGGAGTATCCAAAAATAGGTCAACACATAGTCTGGGGATTACTTGTTGATTCTGTTTCGTCTATTTTGGGGTATTTTTTGGGCATGTTCATTGTTTCGCCCAAAGTCCGCCTGTGGGGGGGCAGGCCCGACCTAAAAGTGTTCGCCTCGTCGGTCGGGGGCCATCCGCCGACCTGCCGCGATGCGGCACCCTGGCCCCAGCCGCGCTCTCGACTCCGACACATACCAGGAGGGGAAAAAACACACACAAACACAGACACAATGAATCGTCGATTCCCAGGAAAGTATGGGCAAATATGGGACGTGGGGGGGAAGACGACAGTCCAGGGGGGGGGCGGAAGAGGGGGGAAACTACGGGGAATCCCATTATTTGCGGGGGGGAAGTGGGGGGGAATACGGGAGTATGGGAAGTGGGGGGGAAATACGGGGAATCCTGTTATCTGTGTGTATTCATTTGTGTGTCCTTGGGCCCCTTCAACATGACGCGATTTCGGGGGCCCTCCGCCGACCGGCGCCCCCCAGAAGGCAAGACTCTCCCACCGTGTCAATGCATGCCCGCCTTCGGGGGCCCCCAGTTTTTTTTTTGTTTGTTTTTTGTTTTTTGTTTTTGTTTTGTCAGAACTTAAAAGAAGGAAGCGGCCCGCATGTCCGCCCCTCCGGCTCTACATGTGGCACGCGGGCACAGCTTACGCTGTACACGTAGCAGCAACAGACAGTTCACTTGATGTGGTGCCTCCAGGTCCGCCGTGGGGCGAGATGCAGTTGCAGGGCGTATCGTTAAGACGTCACGGTGCCCAGCGCGTCCTCTGTGCGAGGGAAGGGATGCCCACGCCTGTCCATCAACAGGGATGGGCATCCTAGCTGCAGGCACGAGGACCGGACTCCCATGCCTGTTCATTTCCAGGGATGGGCTTCCGGTCCAAAACGGTGCCTACTGAACGCCGCTAGTGGCGAAGATGCCGCGCCCGCAACGGCAACATAGCCGTCCAGCGGCCAGTGATGCGGATCAGAGCTTTTTGTGGCGAGCAGTATCCTCATTGCCAGTATGTGATGCCCATGCCTGTCCGCCGATAGGGATGGGCGTCCGAGCTGTAGGCACGAATGGCGGGAGCCGGAGCCTGTCCATCGACAGGGGTGACCATGTAGGCCAACGCGGCTTCTCCTGAACGCCTCCAATGGGGGGGCTTCCGGCTTCTCGGCAAGGCTCGAACGGAGATGCAGAACAGAGACCCAACATAGATTGGTGCACGTGCACTTAGGGGGCCCCGCCAGGCGACCTCCACAAGTTAGTTCAACCAGCTTGCACCGAGATTCTGCCAGATTCGTTCCCATGCGTGGCACGAAGTAACTGTCGGAGGCTGCCACGCCCGCAACGGCAGCGTTGCCGTTTCACGGCAAAGGAGGCGAACCAACATTTTCGGTGCCAAAGGCATCCCCCTTGCGAGGGCGGGTGCCCATGCATGTCCACCAACAGGGATGGGCATCCTAGCTGCCGGTACGAAGAGTGGATGCCCATGCTTGTCTATCGATAGGGATGTGCATCCAGGCCAGCAAACTCGGTGCCAATTGAACGTCGCCAATGGCGAAAATGCTGCGCCTGCGACGGCAAAGTGGCCGCCCCGCGGCCAGTGATGCGGGCCAGAATTTCCTGTGCTGGGCAATATCCTCAATGCCAGGATAGGATGCCCAGGCCTGTCCATCGATAGGGATTGGCATCCCAGCGTCAGGCACGATGGGCAGATGCCCATGTCTGTCCATCGACAGCGGTGACCATAAGGGGGAGGCTGCGGGTCCCTCGGCGGTAATCGAACAGACACGCATACCCGAAACCCAACAGTGGTTGGTGCCAGTGCACCTCGAAGGCCCCCCTGGGCGACCTCCGCAAATTGCTCCCACCAACTTCCACCGATATTCCGCCAGGCTCGAACTCATGCGTGGCACTCAGTAACAGCCGGAGGCTGCCGCGACAGCAACGGCCACTGGGCCACCTCACGGCCATCGGGGCGGACGCAAGTTCTCGGTGCCTAGTGGGACCCTCTTTGCAAAGGCGGGGGTGCCCATGCATGCCCATCAGCAGGCATCATAGCTTTGGACACGGGGAGCGGGTTCCCAGGTCTGCCAATCGCCAGGGGTGTGCATCCAGGCCACTCCGTGCGCCACGGAACGCGGTCAGTGGCCGGAATGCTGCGCCCGCCTGGCAGTGTCGCCACTTCAAGGCCATTGGTGCGGACCACGTTCTCTTGTGCCGAGTAATATTCTCAATGTCAAGTCGGGCATGTCCCTCTACAGGAGGAATATTCCAAGTTAGTCATACATATGAAGGGGACGATTTTTTTTCCTATTCTTGATTGTTTCAGAGTTTGTTTTGGATATTGTTTATTCTTCGTTCAAAGTCCACCTGTGGGAGGACACGCCCGACCTCACCTGATTGCGCGGATGGGATGCCTGTGTTTATGCATGGATGGGCACCCTAGCTTCAGGCACGATAGGGGCGGATGCCAGTGCTTGTCCTTCGACAGGTGTGGCGCAATGCCCACCCCTGTCCATCAACAACGATGGACATCCTGGCATCAGGCACGGGGGCCCGATGCCAATGCCTGATTGGCATCCATGCCAGCACGGTGCTTACTGAACGCCGTCAATGGCGATCATGCCCGTGCCCGCAACGGCAATCTCGCGATCTCGCGGCCATTGAAGCGTACCTACGCTAATTGTGACCAGTAAGGCCCTCAAGGCGAGGACGGGTTGCCCAGATCTGTCCGTCAGCAGGGACGGTCATCATTGCTCCAGGCAAGAGAGGCGGGTGACCCTGCCTGACAGGGACGGGCATCCAGGCCCATACGGCCCGACCTCCCTGGGGAGGGCCGTGCCTGACCGGAGTGCGAGGGCGCATGATCCTAGAACACGGTCGCCCGGCAACTCACTGGACAAGGGGCCCCTCGGAGGCGCCGTGCGAATTCAGCGAACTCTCTCAGTACCGAGGGGACGACTGCGTCGGCACGGGGAGGCGGAGGACGAGGAGGAGAAGGATCCGTCGCACGTTTCGATTCGATTCGGCTTCCCGACCTGGGGCCGACGGATCTCCGCATCGTCGAGCCTGTCGCCATCCCCAGTGGGCCACGGTATCTCAGCCCCCCCTCCCCCGCCCCCCCGCGCGGCGGGGACGGTCCCGCGAGACCCGCAGGGAGAGCCATGCGATGCATCCCCACCCAAAGTCGGCCAGCGGGGTCAGGGCTCGGGTCGGACGAGTGGGAGGGATACAGGGAAGGCCCGTGCCAAGAGACACCCTGCTCTTGCCTCCAGGGTGCCCGTGGTTTCTCGGGTTTCGACGGTTTTGCTGTGGAGAGCGAGAGGTTCCCACGCCAAAAGTCAATTGGCGTCCTGGGGTCTCAGGGTTGGGTTTCTCGTGGAAGGTTTCTTGTGGTCGGGCCCCCCACTGTAGCCGCCCCTTTGCTATCCTCCCTTTCGTCCGACCCGGAACGCCGTGCCCGTGAGGATGAGGATCGGTCCAGCGGCTTAGTGGGCCTTGGGCATGTTTTTGTTAGTTTCCAAGTCTCTGGCTCTTGACGGTGAACACCAATTCACCGAAACGGACAACAGAACTTTCTGGAGTCGGAAGTGGAATCTGTGCTGGAATAACAACAACGACGACGGAGCTTGAACAAACACTGGAACACAGAACCTGTGTAGAATGACGGCCCTGCCGTTTCTAAGACCCTTTCTGTCCAGCTGCGTTCACCGACCGATCTTGCGAGGCAAGCCCGAGTGCGGATCGCGCTGATGCGATGAGGTCCCCTTGGGAGCGGTTTTTCATCCCGAGTCTTCTTTCGACTGTCCTGGGGCCTGGCAAGGGCCCCAAGAGGCCGAAACTATCGAACAACCAGCCGTCGCTATTTTTTTCACGACGCGAGGAGAGTTGAGGTGGGAATGGGAATCGGTCAAGCGGTACTCGCCGACTTTAGGATGCAACTCCTGAGAGATTAAATTCGGCACCGCCGCTGGTACATCCGTGGTCGAAACCGGCCTAATCCAGCTTATTCCCCGCTACCGATCCGGTTGAGTCCCGTCAATCGGGCTCGATCCCTTGCACACTCCTGCGTAATAATCCGGCTCCAATGCCCTGAATCAGGCTTGTAGCCTTCGGTCGTTCTCATGAAGGCCTCCCAGGAGAGGCTTCCTGCGCAAGGCTGTGCCAGTGGGGACGGGCATCGGTCAAGCGGCGCTCACGGGCCGGTCCTGCCAGGCAAGCACGGGGGCGGATGGCGCTTATGCGATGAGGCGGCCCGCATGCGCGGTGCTCGTCGCACCGCTCTTCTGGGCGGGCCTCGCGGACGCGGCCGCCGCGGCCGACGAGAGCCGCCTCACCTTTGACTTCGCGCTCCTGCTCGTTCTGACTCTGGCGGGCGGCCGAGGAGGAGGAGGAGGAGGAGGAGGAGGAGGAGGAGGAGGAGGAGGAGGAGGAGGAGGAGGAGGAGGAGAGGAGGAGGAGGAGGAGGAGGGAGGAGGAGGAGGAATGGCAGCGATGCCTCGCCTCTGCTCTGGCCCCCCCCCCTCCCTTCCTGGCCCCCCCCCTCTCGTGCTCTGCGGGCCCGGGCGGCAAGCCCCCCCTGGACCCCGGGGCATCTGGCTTGCTGAGTCGGGCGTGTCCCCCTTACGGGGGGAATCTCCAAAAGTAGGCAAAACATTTAGAGGGACGATTTCGGAGTATATCTTGGGCTCTCTTTGAATATTTTCTGCACCGTTTGAAATTCTTCGTCCACGATCCGCCTGCGGGAGGAATACCCCAGACCAGGCACAAGATAACAGGGGGACGACTTTCCAGTTTTTTTTGACTTTTTTGAAAGTTTGCTTGACTATATATATATATATATATATATATATATATATATGTTTTTTTTTGTCTTCCTGCATCCGCCTGCAGGAGCACTCGCCCGACCTAGATCTGGCTCCTCGGAAACAGTGGGGTGGCCGGCTTAAAAAATGCCACGCTTCGCTTCCGGAGGCCGGCTGCGGGCCTCGGGGCCGTCAGCAATAAGAAACACGAGTCGGGAGGAGGGCCAGTCGTGGGGACGGCGTCGCGGGCCCTGGGGGGCCTTGCAAAACGACGCGAAGATCGGGACAAAATCGGATCGGGATAACTCGAAATCTCTGAGAATCGGCGGGTTTGGAGGATGTATTGGGCGCCGCGGCCGCTCCAGAGCGTTCCGGAACGCTCTGAGAGCGCTCCGGAACGCTCTGGGCGATTTATCCCCACGACTGGCCCAGCCGTGGGGACGGCGTCGCTGGCCTTGGGGGGCCTTGCGAGCAAACCGACGCGCCGGGTGTCCAGGGATCGTTTCGACTCCTCCGCTGCGATTCGATTCGACCTCGATGGATTCCGATGCCGATCCGATTCGAATCTGGACTCCGATGTTTGGCCTCTGATGTCTTACCCGAGTACAGGCCCGCCGATCTTCGCCGATTCGACTTTTTCCGACTCGGCTTCCGCTTTCCGCCGATCCGATTCGTGTCGATCGGTCGAGTCGATTCTGGGCTCTCCTGGATGTCTGGCCCCCCGCCTCGCCCAGGAGCGCCAGCCGCTCCCGGGGGGGAGCCCCTGCCGGAGGGAGCCTTCCCGGAGCCTCCCCGCCCAGGATCGCGTCTTGCTTCTGCGGATGGTCGTAATCGGGGGTGGGCAGAACCCCCGCCCTGACACGTCGATTAGTGAATTGTCAGTTTTCGGTTCTCGAGAGGGCGCCGCGGCCGTCATTTTCTAGGCTTGCGCCCGCCAGGTTTGGGCCCGAGGTCGTTTTCACTGAACCACATTTTGCGAAAGGGGGTTCTGTCCATCCCCGACGTAAGGGTTGTCCCCGCAGGCAGGGCTGTTTCTTTCGGGTTGACCCAAAAAGGGGTCCAGCGAAAAGAGGGTGGTGCAAGAGAGCTGGTGCAAGTGATTTGTCGAGTTGCACTCGATCTGGGGCGTGCAGTACATTCCGGTACGCAGATGTATTGCCTGATTCTCTCGTGCAATGCTTGATCTCCAATACAATGCAGTACAATTCTCTGGCGCGGTACATTTCCAGTTGGCCCAAGTCCAGTGCACCACCCCCTTCCAGCTGGACCTCCTCTTGGGTCAACCGAATTCCCGAGGGGTCGCCGCCCGGCCCCGTCGCCAGATTCCTCGAGCTGCCGCGGGCGGGCCGTCGCCTCGCGCCCTCTCGAGCATGGTGTGCCCGCACTCCTGCCCAGCCCGCTGCCCTCCCTCCCCCCCGCTCTCACCGAGGATGAAAAGGACCCCCTAACCCTGACAACAGAGTGAAGGCGTGGCCCCGCTGAGGGCCCCGTCCTCGCACCAGGGATAGTCAGTCTGGGCAGTTTGGTGCGGCACACTCTGCAGAAAAAGACCCCCCCTATCCCTAATGTTTCTGGCCCTCCTAACGCAGGCGCCTCCCAGAGGGTTAGGGGAGGAGGAGGAGGAGGAGGAGGAGGAGGAGGAGGAGGAGGAGGAGGAGGAGGAGGAGGAGGAGGAGGGAGGAGGAGGAGGAGGAGGAGGAGGGACGGGCTCATGAGGGGATGCGCTGACCCCCGATCGCCCATTCCTCGCCGACACACGGGGCCCAATGGCCCACCCCGCCCAGGAAAGTGCCGCTGTGCTACTGGGGACCTCCTCGCCGATCGATCGGCGGTGTGTCGCCGATTCCAACTCGATGCTCCCCCCACCCGCCCCACCCCGAGCCGGTCTCCCCCCTGTCGTTCCCCCTCAACAGCTGCACGATAGGAATACTACTCTCCTCTCTCCCCTGACTCTGTCCAGGGAGTGTCCCGTCCTCTCCGCCGCCTTTTTTGTTGTTGGGGGAGGGGTAAAAAAACAGGATTGCATTACTTGTTTTCTCCGATATGTTTTTCAGTCCGGTCGTTTCTGGTTCCAAAACGGTGCTCCCGTTGCAGCGCCGCTCTCATTTCCACGCTTCGGTCCTTCAAAATCGTGTTCCCTTTGCAGCGCTAGCCTCGTTCCTGCGCCTCCTTGGCATTGGAAAGAGCCCACATCGGGCAGGCATGGTAAGGAGGACGTGGAGCCAGCATTCCGGACAGTCTTTGTCCTCTCGTAGACGGGCCACTTACCCTCCAAGTCATCCGGTGCCATGTCACGGCATGCAGTACGATGCTGTGTTGTGCACCGCTGTGCGATGCCATGCTTTGCGTTGATATGCTTTGTGATGCAATGCTTCACTACGCAATGCCGCGCAATGCTATGACATGCGATGCTCTGCCGTGCTCTTCTACGCCATGCTGTTCCATCCATCGCATATCCTCTTAGGATCAGATGCCCTGCTCGACATCCGACCGTGCGAACAGATAAGAGAGCTACGCCATAACAGATAAGAGAGCTACGCATGTGACGCTAGCACACCTAGCTTGTCCCTCTCCCTCCCCCCTCCTTCCTGCTATCTGTGCGCTTTGCTTCGGCAATGGCAGTCGGGTTTGATCCGTGGTTCGACCCTTCCGACCCTCGTGTCCCATGTCATCGGCGGTCCTGGGGCAATGCTACCCTCGGAGGGGTCTTGTGTCTTCTCCAAATTCAATTCGAGTGCAGTTGAGAGTGCCCGCTCGAGAGCAGAATGGAGGGCACAGGTGAGAACGTATTTGTTGAGTCAGCTTACGATATCACGAATCTGCTTTCTTGGTTACTTTTTCTTCAAGTAGAACCCCGACGCCTTTCCACTTCTTCTTGGGTCTTGTCTTTCCCCATTCCAGCAGCCTTCCCACGCGGGCCAGGGTGTTCGGCATGTGGGTGCCCTCATTCTTCCGGCACCCATGGCAGTCCCGAGGTGGTGCCGGTCCTGTTCGTGATAGCTGGGTGCATTGTCTACAAGTGGTACAAGCGAAAAGATCAGCGTCTGCACGAGGTCCGAAGGCTCGAAGAGAAGAAGCGGCGCAAGGATTGGCGGCGCGCACAAAAGGGTGGGACCAGGGGGGTCGCCTTCTTTGAAGGGAGCCTCCCTTCTTAGAAGACACCTTCCCGAGGGGCATTTCTTCTTGGAATGAGGCTTCTTCGAAGGCAGGATGGCTTCTAAGAAGCCTCCTGCCCGATTAGACCCCTTGTCTCTGGCGTCGCAGTCTTTTTTTGTATCGTAGGCCCCTTTGGATCTCGACCTTTCCCCCAGGGCCGGCTTCTCATCTTGAGCTGCTGTTTGACGGTCCTGGGGATGGACAACCGAATGCAGAGGTTGGCAACGTGAAACAGGTGTCCATGTTGATTTTCTGTCGACGCCCCGATCTGAGGGCAGCACCACATGCTGATTTTCAGTCGACGCCCCGATCTGAGGGCAGCCCCATGGAGCCATTTCGGTCCGGTCGATCCGATTCGATGCCGATTTTGGAACGTCCGATCCGATTTGTTTCCGATTTTCCGACGATCCGATGCGGCCCGATGATTGCATTGGCGTTGTTGTGCATCCTGCGGTGCAGCCGATCCGATTCGATTTCGATGCCGTGCCGATGTGGCCCGATCCAGCGTGCGTTCCGATTCGACCCGATTTCCCGATTCGGTGCTGATGGATTCCTCTTCGGTCGGATGTTGCCAGATTTTTCACTAGCCCAAGGTGTCCCCATGATTTCCAGGGAAGCTCGCACGGCCCCACATGAGCAGCCCTCATGAGGCACATGGCCCAGAGGGCCCCCAGGGGTTCAGAAGAGGTGCCCAAAGCTGAGGACGCCTGAGGCCATGAACATCTTTGGCAACCTCTGACCCTACACTCGACCAGGATGGTAAGGATGCGCGGTAAGGATGCAAGGGCCTTGGAGCACCATGTTGACGTTTTCCGTGCGGAGCGCAGCAGAACGCCGAAGGATGCCGAATACCGAGGGGGCAAGGATGCAAGGGTGGCCTTGAAAAGTTGCCCCATCCTTACTATCTACGCTCGCCGCGAGAGGGCGTCGCGCAGCAGGGCGGGATGCATGGAAACACCGACCGTTCCGATCTCTGTCGTTCGACGCCCCCGGTCTGAGGGCACCTCCTTCCACGGCTGCACGCAAGGGCAGCCCTTCGCCCCAGGGGGGCGGCCTACATGGGCAATCTGGGCGAGGGCGATGTGAGCCGCGATGGGGGGGGGCGGGGGAGGTGTGGGCGATCAGGGCGACCTGGGCGAGGGCGATGTGAGCCGCGATGGGGCGAGGGCGGGGGGAGGTGTGGGCGATCAGGGCGACCTGGGCGAGGGCTGTGCAGGCCGCGAGCGCGCATCGCCCCTGCAGCAGGGGCGGCGCGCGCTCGCGGCCAATCGGCGGGGGGGCCCCGGGGTGGGGGGGGCGCCGCACCCGAGCGCACCGCCGCCGCCACCTGTCGCGCCGCGCACGCGCAGCGCTCGGCGCGCCGCGCCCCTGCCGGAGAGGTCGCTCCCTCTCGCGCCCGGGGCCCACCCCCTCGGGGGCAGCGCCGGGGGGGGGGGGGTGGAGGGGAGAGAGGCTCGGGGGGGATGCGTCGGCCCCCAAGCGCTCCTGGATCTCGCAGGACATCCGGCGATGCCAAGCATGGAGCAGGGGGACGTGGCTCCGCGACGGGTTCCGTTTCCATGGGGGGATCGCGGCTTCCCGCCGCCGAGCGAGGCCGCACCGGCCGCATCTTGGGGAGGGCACCTCCCCCGATACATGGATTTGGCGACCGCGCGCCACATCCATGGATCGCTAATCCATGTTTGCGCGCCCCTGATCGGGGGGGATACATCGACCCCTAATCGCTCCTTGATCGCAGAATGGGGTCGGATAGCCCACCCCGCCCAGGACCGTGCGGATGCGCTGTCGGGGGCCCATGGCAGATCCATTGCGGCGCTGCAGCGCCGATTCGAGCTCGATGTTGTCCGGAATGCGCCGCGAGGCTGGGACGCCGCCGAGAGCCAAAGGAAACCTCGAACCTCGAACCTCCTCCTTCCGTCCCTGCCCCGCTCCTTTCCCTGCCAATCTGCAGATGCGACAGCTTTGCTGCTGTTCGGGAGTCGTAGCCAGGAGCAGTTCGCACGTTGTACGATCGCGTCGCAGTCCCCCGCCCTCCCCCGAAAAACCCTCAAGTTGCTCCTCGAGGAGGAGGAGGAGGAGGAGGAGGAGGAGGAGGAGAAGGAAGAAAGGAAGGACGGAAGGAAGGAAGGAAGGAAGGGAGGAGGAGGAGGAGGAGGCGGAGGAGGAGGGATGAGGATGAGGATGAGGATGATGATGATGATGAGGAGGAGGAGGAGGAGGAGGAGGCGGAGGAGGAGGAGGGATGAAGATGAGGATGAGGATGAGGATGAGGATGAGGAGGAGGAGGTGGAGGAGGAGGAGGAGGAGGAGGAGAAGGAGGGATGAGGGATGAGGATGAGGAGGAGGGATGAGGAGGAGGAGGAGGCGGAGGAGGAGGACGTGGAAGGCCCGCCGCCCGAAGGCGTCGCGCAGCAACAGCGACAAGAGCAGCGGCAGCGGCGCGCGGAGCCAGCGGAGCGGCAGCCCCGCCCGCGGCAGAATCGCGCGGAGCCAGCGCAGCGGCAGCCCCACGCGGTCGCGGTCGCCCCAGCACCAGGCGGAGGAGGGCGTCGTCCGGCAGGAGCGGCCAGTCCTCCCTCCCCTGTCATGCCCCTCCCCTCCCTCAGCGAGCGAAGAACGGTATAACATAAACTTTTTCGCCGTCGGGAACATCAGCCCCTGGGCGGCTGGAAAGTTGATACCCCTACGGTGCCACCGTAAGGGTATAAACTTTCCAGCCGCCCAGGGGCAGGTGTCCCCGACGGCGAAAAAGTTTATTGTATACCGTTCTTCGCCCCTCCCCTCCCTGGTCTCATGGCGCCAGCATCGCAGGGCGGATTTCGTTCGAGAGGCCATAGGAGGGGCCTGGAGGGTGCTGGAACATTTCGCTCTGGATTTCGAAGGGAATCTCGTGCGGATTCTTTGGGCCAGGAAGAAAGACCACACAACATCCGTGTGCAATTCACTTCGTGTCTCGCTCGCCGTTTTGGGGTTCTGGACTGGCAGAGCTCGACGCACAACTCCGCTGCAGCACGTCTGCAAGGTCTGTGCGAGTCGTCCCTCTCTAGAGGAACGAACAATGCCATAAACACAACAACTCGGAGGTCCGCGCGGGTTTCTCGGATCGGCGCTGGACCCCCCCTGGCGGCGCCTCTGGCGCCGCCCCTGGCGCGCTCCGCGCGCCAGGGAGGGGAGGTCCCGCCGATCCGAGAAACCCGCGCGGACCTCCGAATTTCTATGTTTATGGCATAGTTCGTTCCTCTACTCTCCCTCCTCCCTTGTTCGCCTTTTTCTGTCCCTGCCTCCCTTCTCTCGCCCTCTCGTCCCTTCTCCGCCTCCCCTGCCTCATTTCTCTTCCCCTCCTCTCCGTCCTTTCCTACCCCTCCCCTCCCCTTTCAGTCGTTCCCGACGGCAGGTACTTCCCAAGCAGTGCTTGCATTTACGGCTTCTTATTTCTTGTCTGAGAAACTGGGCCTGGCTGTTGGTCCGGCAGCTATGTCTTCGTTGCCGCCTCGTCGCTGCCTGTCGTCTGGGCCTGACTGTTGGTCCGCCGGCTATGTCGTCGCCCCATCGCCGCCCCGTCGCCGCCTCGTTGCCCCCCCCCGTCGTCTGGGCCTGCCCGTTGATGTTGCGGCTATGTGGTCGCCCTCGCCGCCCCGTCGCCGATGTCACCATATATATGTATTTATATATATATATGTATATATACACAAATGCATATATATATATATATATCGCGTACCACATAGATATTGCACCACATAGCTTGCGCCACATTGATTCTCTTTTCTAAGAGAAAATTCAGATCACCCCCCAGACGAACGCCCCCTTTTCATGTTGCAATTTACGTATGATGCCCCATCTTCGATCCAAAGTATTAGGCCGGTATGCCTCCTTCCGTCCTCTGCAAACATATTATGCGCGCGCACACGTTTCTCAAGCATCATTAGTTTTTCAAAAGCCTCTTGCAACACATGGGACGAAGTGCGCATGCGCGCGTCGCGCGCGCGTGCCGCGACCCTTTTACAAAACCGTAGGTCTCGCAAGGATTTCAAAACATGATACCACGAACACATATTAGCCTATGGTTTTGCAGCACGGATTTTCAAACAATGCCTGCGCTCGAGCTCTTGTAGATCCTTACGGCAACCATGGTTTTTCCAACATGTTCATAACATACTACCAAACGGAAGTCGTTCGAACGCCATTGCGCTCGTGCTGTCGTAAAAATCCTTCGCAAAACATGGGGCGACGTGTACGCGCGCGCGTCGCCGCGCGGTCGTGCCGACGTTTTCCAACAACCTTAGGCGCAGTTCGCGTTTCAGAAACGAGTGTCCCGAACACACACACATATATTTATACACATAACAAGCGCATGGTTGTGTAACGTCATGTGCAAACAATCGAATGGAAGCCATCGGTTTTCAACATTGCCATTCAATTCTCGCGCGTCGGCCTCGCGCGCGCATGTCGAACTCTTTCAAAAACCTTCATCGCCGACGCGAGGACATCGTCATCGTCATCGGCTGGCGTGATCAACGTCGGCGCCGTCTTTAACCTTGCCGTCGTCTTCGCCACCATCGTCACCATCGTCGCTCCTTTTATCATCGTGTCTGCCGCTGTCGGCGTCGCCATGCGACCGCGCCCGCCCAAGTCATTGACTCGCATTGAAGTGCCCGCTGGGAAATGCCCAGCGGTGAGCGCCACCGCGGCCTCGTCGGTCGCGACGCACTGGCTGGCCGTTGTGAACGCGAGCATGCGGGGCTAGCGCGGCCGCAGAGATGCACCAGCCATCGCACTCGGCATCGCATGAGTTTTGCAAACCAAGTTGCGGGTGGGTGGGTGGGCTGATTGCGCGAGCAGTGGAGTTGACACATCACTGCGAGTATTGAAAAACTACACCATGTAGGAATTTCCCTTGTAGGGAAGTAAAGGAAGCTTCTCTGTCTCTCTCTCTCTCTCTCTCTCCCCTGGGATTAACGGTACACTTTTTCGTATGGCAATTTGCAGGTGATTCTGCCCGAGCGGCGCACGACGTGCGCCCCCGAGCCGAGCTCTGTCAGGTGAGCTCTTGTTCGCTGGGTCTGCGCATGACCAAGCTCCTCTCCCGTGCTGCGGACGAGAAGCATGATTTGCGGGCCCCATAGGGAGATGGCACCCGCCTGAGACTTCCTCGCAATTCCCTCGCAGACGAGGCTCCTGCCTGATTTTGCCTCGAAATTCCGGCATGGGGACCCCCAGCAGTGACGACAGTTGCAGGTTTGCGGATGACCCGCCCGGAACACCAACGTGATGCGCGGGTCGCATTGGGGGGGGGGCCCCCCCGCGTGAGGTTTCCTCGCAAACCACTCACCGACGACGCTCCCGCTGGATACCTATTCCGTGTTCAGGCATGGCGGCCCCCCACAGTGACGAGAGTTACATGTGTGCGGATGACCTTCTCGGATTGCCAGCGTCAAGTGCGGGCCCCATAGGGAGGGGGCTCCCGCCCGAGACTTCCTCGCTATTCATTTGCATGCGAGGCTCCCGCTCGATCGTTCCTCCGTGCTCAGGCATGAGGACCCACCAAAAAAGATGACAGCATCGGGTTTTCATTTGAACCGCTCGGATTACCAACATGAAGTGCGGGCCCCAAAGGGAGGGGGCTCCCGCCTGAGACGGCCTCACAAGTCACTCACATGCGACGCTCCCGCTTGATACATCCTCCATGTCCAGGCATGCGGAGTTTCAAACGTGACGACAGTAACACGTTTGCGGGCGGGCCGCTCGGATTGCCAGCGTGGAGTGCGTGCCCCATATGGAGGGGCTCCCGCCTAAGACTTTCTCGCGATTCATTCACAAACGACGCTTCCGCTTGATACCTCTTCCATGTTCAGGCATGACGGCCCCCCACTGTGACGACAGTTACATGTGTGCGGATGACCTCCTCGGATTGTCAACGTCAAGTGCGGGCCCCATGTGGAAGGGGTACCCGCTTGAAATTTCCACTCAATTCATTTGCATACGAGGCTCCCGCTCGATCGTTTCTCCATGTTCAGGCATGAGGACCCCCCCCAAATACGACCCGCTCGAATTTACAACATGAAATGCGGGCCCCATAGGGGATGGGTCCCGCCTACGACTTGTTCGCAATTCATTCACATACGAAGCTCCTGTTCGATACTTCCTCCATGTTCGGGCCAGAGGAGCCCAACAGTGATGATGGTGATGATGTTGGTGATGATGATGATGATGATGATGATGATGATGATGATGATGATGATGATGATGATGATGATAATGAGTGGTCAGTCATGGTGGTGATGACGGTGGTGATGCTGATGGTGATGGCCATGGTGTGGTTGCGAGTGAGTGAGTACGTGAGTAATGAGTGGCGAGGGAATGGGTTAGTGTGTGCGGGTGTGATGAGGATGATCGTGATAGTGTGATGATGATGATGATGATGATGATGATGATGATGATGATGATGATGATGATGATGATATTGATGATGATGATGATGATGATGATGATGATGATGATAACTATGGTGGTGATGATCATATCGCGGTGCCACTGATGACGATGGTGGTGATGATGATGGTTATGGTGATGGCGATAGTGAGATGTGGGCCAGTCAGTGACTGAGTGAATGAGTGAGTGAGTGAGTGAGTGATGTGGAGAACAGAGGGGTGTGACAGGACTGCGTGGGGTGTCCACATGAAACAACAACCTCGTTTATGACGTGGGGAAATCATCGCCAACGCGAGGACATCGCCATCGTTATCGGTGGGCGTGATCAACATCGGCGCCGTCAGTGGCCTTGCCGTCGTCATCGCCACCATCGTCACCATCATCGTTCCTTTCGTAATCGTGTCTACCGGTGTCGGCGTCGCCATGAAACCGCGCGCGCCCACGTCACCGATTCGCAATGAAGTGCCCGCTGGGAAATGACCACCGGTGAGCGCCACCGCGGCCGCGTCGGTCGCCCCAAACCATCTGGCCGCTGTGCGCGCGAGCGTGCGCGGGCTAGCGCGGCCGCAAGGATGCACCAGCCAACGCCAAGCACTCATCTCAATCACAGCCGCATGGGTTTTGCAAACCAAGGTGTGGGTGGGTGGGATGTTAGCAAGAGCGTGGAATTTGTCAACTCGTTTGTAACAATCAATTGCACCACGTAGATCGCATAGCATATATTACGCTATATAGACATCTATACTTTTATATAGACATATAGACACATCGGAGGTTGGGGGTGAGATCGCAGCGGGACGGAGACCCCCAAACAGGAAATCGTTTCGTTTCGTTCGTGTCGTGCGTGCGGGCGCGGCGAAGCTGCGTGGACTCGCGATCTGAATGAGCCCGCCGTTGCTAGGGCGAAGTCAAGTAAATTGTTTCTCCTCCGCCGTCCGTTCGGCGGTGGCTTGAGCGGTGTCCCGCGGTGTCCCGTGGTGTCCCGTGGTGTCCTGTGGTGTCCGCCGTTGCTAGGGCGAAGTCAAGACAAATGCTTTTCCTCCGCCGTCCGTCCCGAGGTGGCTTGAGCGGTGTCCCGCGGTGTCCCGTGGTGTCCCGTGGTGTCCGCCGTTGCTAGGGCGAAGTCAA